CGCTTATCTTCCGGCCAACGTACTTCTTTGCTGACCAAACACACATGCTCACTATCCGAGTCCTCAGGATCAATTTGATCCTACATATATATGTATCTTGGAACACAGGCTGGACCATCTGCAGACAAAAACGTTTTTTGTGAGAATAACTAAGGCCGTGTTCGGTTTGCAGAGGCAAATCCAGCTTGTTTGAAAATAAGCTAGAGCTGTAGAACAGTCGTTTTGTTAAGTAAAATAAAGATAAAATAAGTGATCGTGTTCCATCAGAAAAAGGCTGGATTTGAAGGCGCAAAGGAGGACGAATCAAAATTCAACCCAGAGCTGAATTTTGAAACCAGTCGTTTGGAGCTATCCTGCTGGATGTCATTTTTTGTGTTTCTTAGCGGAATAAAGCTGGCTGAGACATTCCAGCTCTTTCATAACAATTACAGCTGGTTTTAGCTTAGATCGAACACGGCCTAAACAAAATAGAAGGCCACCTTTCATCATCGTCACAAAAACATATTTTGTCTGCTGTTGCTCGAATGTGCTGTCTAGACCTCCGACCATTTTCAATTGTTTCTGGCGATGGATGTAAGTCGTAATAACTGACGTCGGCTTAAGAGCTATAGGTCCAAGCTCAGCTGCAATATTAGTGACCTCTTACTGGTACCAAATAGCGTCCGGAATCAAGTGTCGACAATGCAGAGACGATTTGAGATATTTTACTGGTGGTGTGCATGGAACTCTTCGCTGAACTCGTTGTTATTACTCTCTTAACTGTTTGTCCTTTGATTCAGGAGGCGGATTACATGTACTGTGCTTGCCCAAACTCTCTTCGATGGCGTGTCGCAATTCTGGTGAGCTTATCATAGCTGCATTGTGGGCCACAATTTGTGGACAAAATAGTATTATCACACAGCAGTATGCAGCTAACACAAATTGTATACGCATTCCACACAGATGTGCCACATCATCATGTGGGGCTTGTCGCACGTGCGCGTCGTGCGCACATCTATGCGGCACAGACAGTAGGACGTACCCACGGACCATCCATACCGTGGTTGCGTCCCAGTAAATCATCCAATCAGATCTGGCTGCCTCTCCGGTGAGGAGCAACAAGCTTATTCGACAAATTTCTCTCAAGGGCGCAGCAAGGCAACCAGGGCGCGGCGTGCCTCGGGCATGATCGCCGGCATGGCGGCGCCCGTGCACCTTCACCATCATCCACTACGACATGCAGACTACAACTACCGACCACTACGACATGCAGACTACTAGTGCGCGGGCGCGACGTGGCTCGGGCTTGATCGCCGGCATGGCGGCGCCCGTGCACCGTCCCCATCATCCACTACGACATGCAGACTACAACTACCGACCACTACGACATGCAGACTACTTGTGCGCGGGCGCGACGTGCCTCGGGCTTGATCGCCGGCATGGCGGCGCCCGTGCACCGTCACCATCATCCACTACGACATGCAGCCTACAACTACCGACCACTACGACATGCAGACTACTTGTGCGCGGGCGCGACGTGCCTCGGGCTTGATCGCCGGCATGGCGGCGCCCGTGCACCGTCACCATCATCCACTACGACATGCAGACTACTTGTGCGCGGGCGCGACGTGCCTCGGGCTTGATCACCGGCATGGCGGCGCCCGTGCACCGTCACCAGCATCCACTACGACATGCAGACTACTTGTGCGGAAGGTGCTGTAATAAGACTGATTACGGGCGGCTTGTGCAGGACGTGTTGAAGGGCTAGCCCCTGTACCGTCCTAGCTGAAGGCTGTGCGGGATTGGCCTTATTACAGTAAATGACGTACCACGATGTTCCTGTAATGAAGAACGGTGTATTAATTTGTTAATGCAATGTAAATGTAATCATTCTCTCTTTTCTCAAGTGCTTATTCTTCTTCTGCTTCAGCTTCAATGTAAGCCCTCTCTACCTTACGTCGCTTGCGCTGCCGATACAAACGAAGTTCGCCGGAGGGAAGGTTTGCTGCGGGCTCCCATGTTGGCTCCCATACGGTAAGGAATAGAACCCTTCCGTTCTCGCGGCGATCGTCGAGAATCGTCCGCATCTGGTAGGTCGGCTGGGCTGTCAAGCTCACTCCAGCTGGTAGAACCCATTCCGCTTCGCCCGCATCACCGCCTTGACGTGCAGCATCAATGAGACGGGGCTTAGTGATGCGGGCTTGCGGTACGGCGTCAAGAAGACGCCGTATGGAGCCTCCAACGTCGGGTGACAAGCTTCGCTGAATAAATCCCCACGACCTTAAAAAGCGGGCGGCCTCTCGATCGAAGCGGCCCCATCCACGCTGTTTCAGGTGCTGCTGGCACCATTCAAAGAACTCGTTCGCGGAGGTGGGTGGAGCGGGGGCGGAGGCGATGTCGTGTCCAGGGGTGGCCATTGTACGGAATGAACATCGATAAAGTAGACTTCAGATAGATAGATAGATATTTATACTTTTGTTTCGTGCATCTATTTATAATTTTAAGATAGTTGTTCTATATTAGTGCGTTCTGATGAATGAAGAGAAGTGAATGAATAGAAGTTTCACAAGAAAAACAATCGTTTTGCAAGAAAGCTAGCTCAACATATTCAAATTTGCGTTTTTCGACGGAACAAAGTGTTTTCATCGATGCAACACTATCTAAGCGTTAGTCCATGCTAAGTGCGTGACCGTTTGTCCGAGGACGACCAGCAGGAACTTGAGTACTCGCGCCGCTAATATGGAGAGTTGCTTGCGGGGTGCGGCGGCGCTTCCTCGCTACCGTGCGGTTCACGAGGGTTCTCTTTCCATCCAAACCGGTGTAGCTCTTAACTTGAAGAGCAAACAGAAGGTGAATCCAAATGGCGAGCTTGAAGTAATACTTGCACCCACATGTCATCGCAGTAACGTCGACGCTCCAGCCACCATCCGGCTGACCCTCCATCTCCATGCGAGCGTAATTGGCGCCCATCTGAGCTGATACAGGGGCCGTTTCTCGACTACGCCCCAAGTCAGGTAGATAAACGCGAGAACAGCCGCGCGACAATACACGAACCTTATTCGGGTTCGGAGAAACCAGTAAGAACTCAATGCTCGACCGTCCAGGAGTCCTGTCGAGAAGGAGATCTCGGCGCCGGAAATCTGTTACTCGAGCTTTGAGCTGTTGTGTTGGCTCAGACAATTCCTTGAATACCTTGGGGGTGGCAGACTGATGCTGACAGCAATCCGCGAGCAACTGGACCAATGTTCCGATCTTGTGCTTTGTTCGGAGAGTGTAGTCACGCTTTATCAACCTGTTGAGCTGTTCGACCGGGTTGTTCGTCGTGGCAAATCCACTCGGCGTATGAAAACACTGCCATCGCCAAAATGCGCTTGTAACCCATGTGCGCTCGAAATAGTCTTGAAAGCCAACCAAGTGTTCGTCACCTGACCATTTCGTCAGCACTTGTTTCACTTGTTCGTCATAGACAGCTGAGGTCGTCGCGAAATGAAGGTCGTAAATGTCCGCCATCACCTGCTCGCTTAAGCGGTCCGGAACACTCTTGAGTTTTTCGTGAACCTTGGCCATCACGTGATAAAAGCACATCAAGTACACGAATTCGCAATCCGCACCAAAGACGCGTACCACTGCGTTCGTTGAGCAGCTTCAGCATCGGCCATGACGAACTTGACCACCAGTTGACGCCCACCCGACACTGAAGTAAAAATCCTGCGCAGTTCAGTCAGCACCGTCACGTAAATGTCCTCCAAGCGTTGCGACGTAATGAAAAGTGCCACGAGGTGAAATGAGCGACACTTGTCAGAGATCCCACACACGATGACAGGATACCCAACTTAGTTCAACTTGAAGGTGGCGTCCATATGAAAAACAAACGAATCTGGATCGCGAGCCGCATTTAACAGAAGTCGTTTCGTTGTCAGTCCCACCAAAAATGGCTTTTCGTCGGAGCCGTTTCCCACATCTGGTTTGCCGTGTGCGTCACGCTTCCATCCGAACGAGAAAGGATTCGTGGCTGAGACGGTCGGGCCATAAGCCAACTGGTCGATCTGGCCCAGGATTTCGTCATAATCGTCATTGCGGTGCAGATGTTACTTAGAGTAACTGCTGACGAACCACTGCACTTGACGTAGCGTTGGCATCTCTGTCTCAGTCAACCCGAATCGCCGAGCCATCCCATTACGAATCCGAGCGGGCTTCAACCCTTGCGTAGCCATTTCACGACCGTAGTCCTTGAGTCGGGGGGTCATCTTGTTTTTTTGAGGACCCCTCACCAGCGTCTCGTGAGCACCAGTCTCCATTATGGTGACGCGGTTAAGGCTTTGGCACGTGAGCACCTTCCCCTTCCACCGACACGCGTCATATGGCGTGGCTGCGCTGCATGTTTCCGAGGAACACCTAAGTAGCTGGTACCGCATCTTGTGTGGCTTGGTCAGTGCACACACCACACACGGAACCAGCTGACTCTTCACAATAATGAACGCCTTCATGTCTTCCATAAGCAGCTGAGAATCCTCGCGAGCCATGTCGCTGCAGACAGTCGTCCATGTGGTCGTCGTGGGCATCTTTCGTTGAGGGAGGGGAAGGAGGGCTTCAAAGTTCAGTTTTTTCTGTATGAAGAAGGATCTTTGCTGTAAAGAAAGGATATATAGGGCGGTGATTGGCTCATAGCACTGGTCGTGATTCGCTAATATTTACTGGTGTGTAGACACCCGAGGTTGGTGTGTTTTGGCCTATGCAATTGTGGCACACGTTTAGATAGTGTGGTGTGATGTGACATTGATGTCTCCCACGCATATTGTATTTGCTTTCCCATTTTCTGTGTGTCAGACCTGTTTCTGTGTGATTTACCGGTTCTGTCCAATTTGATGATAGTAGTTCAGTTGATACTAAACGTACTACTATCACATTATTAAAACTACTATCTGATCCAGTACTACATAGTATTTCTTCAGAATATGCTATTAGTACTTAATAACAAATAGTACTAGCATTAGCAGTTTACTGATGCATACTATATCTAAATGGCGAAGCTCTTGGATGGCAAGGCGTGCAGCAAGGAAATTGAGGCGGAGCTCAAGGAGCTGGTCCCAACGCTAAATGTGACACCCACGCTCGCACTTCTGCTCGTTGGCACCGACCAGGACTCCAAGACATATGTGCGACTGAAAAAGAACGCTTGTACGCGCGTGGGAATCACACCGCAGGTGCATGAGTTGGCCGAGTCCATCGAATTCGCGGAACTGCTGGCTTTGATTCAGTCACTTAACGCCGATAACAGCGTCCACGGTATCCTATTGCAGCTGCCGTTGCCTGACCATTTGAAGCTCCACGAAGAGGAGCTACTGGAGGCCGTCAGTCCGCTCAAAGACGTGGACGGACTGCACTCACACCACTTTGCGCGGTTGGCAGAGCCCGAAAAGGAAGAAGAAGGGGCAGTTAAAACACTGCAGCTGCAGCCTTGCACGCCCGCGGGCTGCTTAGAGATTCTGGCTCGTAACGGCATCGAGCTAGCTGGCAAGGATGTGGTCGTCATTGGTCGCGGACAGCTCGTGGGGCTTCCGCTGTCGCTCATGCTTCTGGCAGCCAATGCCACAGTGACTACGTGCCATTCGAAGACCAAGAACTTGGCCGACAAGGTCCGACAGGCGGAGGTTGTGTTTGTTGGAACCGGTCAACCGGAACTTGTCAAGGGCGACTGGCTTGCTGAAGGAGCAGTAGTCGTCGATGTTGGCATCAGCTATGTGGACGACGCTAGCAGTAAAAAGGGATACAAGATTCTGGGCGACGTGGACTTTGCCGCTGCCAGTGAGCGCGTCTCTGCTATCACGCCCGTGCCTGGAGGTATTGGACCCATGACGATCGCCATGTTGCTAAAGAACACAGTCGAGTGCGCCACGTTTGCGTCGTCAAACAACTAAAAACACCCAGACTTTTCTTTTTAACACAAGAAACATGAGGAACGTGACGATTAATTACATTCTTGCACTTTGAGATATGTAAATGGGCCTCCACCGCGACATGCTTCTTGAATTTATAAGGTATCAAGCTCATTCGCCGTTCATGTAACTTGATGATTGCGTGAAGCTGCCAGATCTCCCGATGGACGGGTTCGAGCCATCGTACGTGAAGCCGGCAAAAGTGTACGACAGGTTCCGTAGCGTGCTGTTGCGCTCGCTGCTGATGATGCTCGTACCCGAGCTGCCAGCGACGCCATTCGGCACCCCTGCTCCAATCCCTGCGGCCTCCGCAGCAGCAGCCACGTTGTCAGCCGGATCTCTTCCCGAAGCTCCATCGTCGCCTCTCTTCTCTTGCAGTTCACTAGTCGCAACACTGAGACCCGCGCTATCAATTTGCGCGAGTGGCAACTTGGTAAATTCCTCCTCGAAATTCGCAGCATCAATTGGGTCCGTGTACTGACACGGGCGATACAACGGCTGCACCTGGCGATTATATAGCAGGTTCCAGTCAATCTCGGCAAAGAACGGATGATACGTGATCTCACGGACATCAATCGCTCCGAGACGCTTGGCCGGGTCGCGCATCAGCAGTCCCTCGATCAAATTCATCGCCTCAGGCGTCAAACCCTGCGGGAACTCAAGCTCCGCTCCACGTAGACGATTGAACAGCTCCTGGCGGTCTTGTGTGTACCACGGCGGCCTTCCCGTGAGCATTTCGTAAAGTACCATCCCCAGATTCCACCAGTCCACAGCTGTGCCGTGACCAGCTCGGTTAAGAATCTCCGGTGGCAAGTACTCGGGTGTACCACACATAGTGTACGTCCCATTGAGTTCACTAGTAATCCCCTCCTTGGCCAACCCAAAGTCTGCGAGCTTGACGTGGCCATCCACATCCAACATAATGTTCTCCGGCTTCAAGTCTCGATATACAATGCCCTGCTCGTGTAGATGGATGAGCGCTAGCACGATCTCGGCGGCATAAAACTTGGCCATGGCCTCGGGGAAGCAGCCACAGCGACTGAGATGGAAGAACAAGTCCCCCCCTGGACAGTAATCGAGTACGAAATACAGCTTGTCCTTTGTCTGGAACGCATAGTGCAGACACACCACAAACGGGTGTGACACGGAGGCCAACACGCGACGTTCTGTCCTTGTGTGCTCTACTTGCTGCTTCTTCACAATCGCCGGTTTACTCAGAATCTTGACGGCAAACAACTGGGACGAGTGCTTCTTTCGCACCAGCAACACCTTGCCGAACGACCCTTTGCCGATCATACGCAACACGTCAAAGTGCCTCAGCGACACCTTGTTACTCCCCCGTCGAGAGCTGAGTTCGTCGAAATCTTCTTCTTCGTCGTCAACATCCTGAAGAATCACACTTCGTCGCTGCTCTGCCACTGTGGATGCGTTAAAAGGAGCCTCCCGACCATCATTCATGGGTTCCTCTTTAGGTACCGACTTCACACGAGCTCTTTCTCCACGTGAGCTGGATCCGTGGTCTGCTGAGGCTCCGCGTGCTCTACCTCCACGAGAACTATTTGACTCGGTTGAGTCCACACGGATTCTACCTCCACGAGAGCTCGTAGCAAGCTGATCAGCCGAGCCGACTCGAATCCTCCGACCGCGTGAGCTCCCACCGCCTTCCTCGACCTCATACGACATCGACTCGGAGTCAGTCTTCTGCTCTGACGTGCTGAACAGCGGCGGACGTCCCGAACCAGAGCTTGAAAACGAGAATCCACAGGAAGAGTTGGATAAAACATTCGAGCCCGACGACGACGCGGCAGATTCCTCGAACACCGGCGGCTCGTTGGCTTTGTGCGTGAGGAAATGGCGGATAAGACGCACACTGGCGTGGAAGCCGCGGTTTCCGCAGCATTCGTTGTGTCTGTCCGAGTCCACTTTGCAGTTCTCGATGCTGATGAGCATCAGCACTTCGCGTAGCCATCTGTCCAGCTCCAATTGGCGTTTGCGAAGGAAGTTCGGGTCCAACGAGCGCATCAGCGTCCGCGTCGGCACTGCGGAAACCCGCACGGATTCGTTTTTCAGCTGGTGCGCGAGCTGCTTGAAGTCGTGGAAGCGACGATAAATGGTCCACTGCTTCTCGCTCACGATACACTCGATCTCCAGACGGAAAACCGCGTAAAGTTTGTGTGACACCTGGTCCCGAGCAAAGGAGAACCCCTTTATACGGTTCAACCGACCCGCAGCGCCCACGGGTAGATAGCCCGTCGTGCTGTTGACCTGCGCCTCCGAGTTCTTGAAGTTCTCGGCCCACATCCGCTCAAAGTACTCGCGCTCGTCCGCTGGCTGAGCGGGTCGCTGGTCTTTCGGTAGTTTCGTCACATCTTCCTCGTCTTCCTCGCCGTCACCTGTAAATTGGAACGACTCGTCTACTGATAGAACGGAGGATACCGAATCCACGGACATGGCGGAGCCTGTGCGAGGCATGGAGCGGCGATTGCTGTCTTCGTTATCGAAGTTGAGAATGTGGAACGGGTCGTGCATGGGCGGCACGGACGGCGCTGTGGTATTGAGCTCCACGCGTACGCTAAAATGCAAAGAGTGGGTTAGTGCGCTTATAAGGGAGCTGTAAGCGATGGTTACGCACTTCGAGGAGACCCCATTGGGGTGGACCTTGCCTACAGGCACCTGCGCGTGTGCCGGAAAGTCCCGCGAAGGCTTCCGCTTCTTGTCTTCCCTGCGGTTGCCGAACATGAGCAAGAGACACAGTGCGAAGAGAACTTAGAGACAGTGGCCACGGCTCTGAGGGTAGTAAGCAGGACGTAACTTACACCATGCTACTCGTGCGGCAGGCTACGCTTGAGAGACGGAGGCGACCGCGAAGCAGAGCAGGGGAGGATCCGACGCGCGGGCTTGAGCTGCCAACGCACAGCGGCAGATGTGGAGCTGTCTTCCCCCTTTTTCTCCTTTTGTGCCTCTCCGCCTTTCCCTTAACCCGGACAATTCAGGTCAAAATTAATTTTTGATTGCGGTAGCTGCAGCATTCGAAATGCTTGACATGCTGCTGCCCAGTATATGCTGACCGAAAAATGCATTCCGTATTTTCATTACAGTTTCAGAGCGGAAAGGATGCTCCATTGTAATGATTTCGTGCGATTGTATTTTTATCAGGGCACTTGCTATTCAACCCGACTGATGTGGAAGAGACAGGCTAATGGTGCCCGACAGCACCCGATCGATGCCCGACCATGCCCGACACAAAATAAGTCAGTTGAGCAATCAAGCGTCCGTATACGTATATCCGGATGTGAAGACTTTGTGGTTTGAGCGTGCAAGTACGACCGGCATCATGTCATGAGCATGAGAAACTTTATTCAGTAGAGCTCAGTGGGACTGGTAAGTGCAGAATCAAAATCAACTTGTTGAAAGAGTTAACTATAGACACATATATATGTATCTGTAGCGCAGATACTATAACTCCTTCCTACTCAGCATGCACAGACCTTGGGCACCAGCGAATACACCAAACGCTAGCAGAACATACATACCACAATTGTATGAATCTACTTGTACCCCTAGATCGCCCATGTAGTGGTGTACTCGGTATTTCCTTGGTGCGTAGTTTGGCAGTTGCATTGCCAGCTTTTCTGCGATCGCTCGGACTCTAACGACATAGCTCGAGCTCATTGGGTCATAGATGCACACATCATTCAGATTTAAGCTCACCATTACGCAGCACCAATGCGTGTTGCTGCAGCATATAGGGATCAGAATTTTCTCGTTCGTCTTGCCCGCGAAAATTGTAGCGAAGGCTCTGGTATTGACAGGGCTATCTTCATTATCAATAGAATCTGCAGCGGGGCTGCCGTAGCTTTAGCGTCAGAGGAAGACGTTCGACTCAAAGAGTCAGTGATACTAAGTTCCTTATCCAAAGGACACTTACAGCCCAAGACCAGGGCTCAAAGTTAACACCTTAACTTTTATGCTTCAAAACCAGAAGTGTTTTATTTACTATTATTGCGGCCAAGCCGCCTAGGGGTAAATGTATCAAATGCATAACGTGTGGCTTTCAGCCAACGTACTGAGAGACCTTGTTAACTCTCCAACTTATGTACTGAGAGTTTGTTAACTCTCCGGGTACTTCGTACCCCTGTGTGTTCCACACCATGTAACCCCGTTACACTCTCCCTCACTAAGGTGAGAACATACCGTTCTCGAACTTTCCTCAGCGAGGTAGCGTCTTGTCAAGACGACGGAGGTCACTAGACCTCACCTCTGCGTTCTGCAGCTCCACGAGCTCACAAACGCGTTCGCATCCTTGATGCCTGGCACTTCCACTCCGGCCCACGGCCCAACGTCTCCAGCGCGTCGCGCCGCCCCTGCCTCGTCGGTCCCAGACCCCCAACTGCGCTCCGCAACTGCTCCAAGAGCATCTTCGTCTCTTTCGGTGGCACAGTACCACCAAGAGTATCGCCGTCGCCACGGTCAACGCTCCATGAGCCGTCAACAAGAAGAGAGCAAAGCTCAAAGCTCATCAGAGCCGCGGGCGCCGCCCAGAGGGAACGATGTTCTGTTCTCGGAACTCGAAGAGGGCGAAGTCGATTACGACGAGCCCATGGGTAGTGAGGATCACTCCAACCCAACCTCTCCGAGGTCGCACACTGGTGCCGCGTCTTCCCCAGCTTCCTCTGTGAGGTCTAGCCGCTCAACGGCGCAATCTCAAACAAGAAGAGACCTGCGGACACCGCATCCGTTCTCTGAACGTTCGAATCCGATTCGCTTGCTGCGCGATGCGCCACCGCTATCGTCGCGGTATGACGAGGAAGATCGATACGATCACAGCGTCATTACAAATGACCTGGACGAGGCCCAAGGCCGTCAGTTGTCCAATGAGCAGCGCTCGCAGTCGTTCCGACCTGTGGTCCGACCACTTGTTCTAACGTCACGCCGTGACTACGGCTTCCAGCCGCGGAACCCTGCCGAAGCGGCCCGCCTCGCGGCGCAGCAGCCGCTGAACACGTACACGTGTGGGCCTGCGGCCTCGACTGCTGATGAGCAAGTGCAACGGCACCGGCTCCGAGAGCGATATCTGACTCCACAAGTCACAACTCCTCAGGAGTATCAGGCGCGCCTGCATATGCAGCTCAACCGCCAACCGGTTCCCTCCATGCGAACCATTCCGGTTGTTCTCAACCCTGGGGAATCCCAGCGTGCTTATGAAGCACAATTCCGAAGCTGGGTGGAGGGAGCTCGACGGCTCCCCTCCTACAATGCTCTTCGAGCAAGTTTCTCTGAAACTGATATCCGTCTTGAGAGACGTTTGCGCTTAGACGTCGCTAAGTCGAAAGCACGTCGACGAACACTGGGACCCCGTCCCCATCACCTCGAGGCGTCACCACCTCTTGCTCATGCTGCGAACACCGCTCATTCCTATGAGCCGGCTGCTCCAGCCACTGGTCGGAGCTTGAGCTCAGCCACCGACCTGTCATCCCCGCGTTCTAGCGGCGGGAAGCGCTCGGCGCCTGACGACGCGGTCGTACGCCGTAGCGGCGGGGCAGTGAGTGTGCCCGATAAAAAGCGGCGACGACGTCAGGGCAGTCCTGCCGGAGGACAACCTCAAACTCCCAAGAGTTTTGTGAGTGAGGATAACCCCTCCATTTCACAAGGTACTGAGTACGACCCTGGCGCATGCGCCTCGCCATCAGGCGTTCCACATGGAAGTGGAGCTCGCCGTGCTCATCGAGCAGAGCAGGAGGAGGCCGAGTCTCAGCTGGACTCTCGCGTCGCGAGTCGCAGCGACGTGTTCGCGCTGGAGCAGCGTGTGGGTTCCCTGAACCGGTATCTCCATGATACGACTGACTCTCTGAGTCGCCTTGCAGATGGTCTCGATGAGACGAAACACGCGTGGACTGGTTTGAACAACCACAGTCGGTTCAGAACCGAGTCGCGGACCTTGAGCGTCAAGTCGCTCAGCTGCAAGGTCAGATCGACTTGCTGTTGCGTCTTGTGGCCCCGCCACCTGTTGTCGCTCAGCCCGCCGTGGTTCGGCCTCCCGCTGTTGTGCAGCCTGTCGTGGCACAGCCACCGTTGGCGCCAACGCCTCCGCGCTCACCTGAGCAGGGTTCTGATACGGCTTGAGTAAGCCAACGTAGAAGACTGGATGCGTGCGCATCTTCTTCGGAAGGCTAAGCGTATACGCTAGGCCCTTCTTGGCCACGACCTTGAACGGCCCTATGAACCGTGGGTCTCAATTTTGTCTTTAAAGACTGCAGACACTGCATGAGTAGGTAGGTTTTTGGCATTTAATAAAACTAGGTCTCCGACCTCAAACCTTTCTTCATTGCGTCTGCCTTTGGCATCTGCATGTTCTTTTTGCATATCCTTGGCTTTCAGTCATAGCGTCGCGTACTTGACGCATTACGCTTAGTCTCAAAGAGACAAAGTCATTGACTTGCTTGCGAACCGCAACAGGGCTGATATCAGCTAGCCGCTCGGCTATCCCTCCCCCATCAAGCCCTGAGCCACTGCGTGGCGGCGTCGGTGGGACGCGAGGGTTAACCAAGCCGCTCACATAGAACGGAGTGTAGCCTGTCGAGGCGTGCACTGCATTATTTAATGCGAACTCAACGATTGGGAGCATCTGGCTCCAGCGTTCTGGCGCCTCAGCGCATACGCTTCGGAGGATATCCTCCACAACGCGATTCACGCGTTCGGTTTGACCATCGGTGTAATGGGCTCTCCCAAGTTACATATGTGGGTAGTTTTATAGGTTCTTTGTAGTGGTTCACACCATTACATAAGTAGGTAGATTTGCATTACAAAGTAGGTGCAGCAGCACACGAGTAGCGTGTGCTGAACTGCCGTCACCTTATTGGTTGAAATCTGGGGAGCCAGACCCATAATCAACCAATAAGGAGTTGACGTGTATTTGAGTGGTCAGGGCAAGCTGCCCTGGACCTAAATAAAAACAGAGTTGATTTTCCTTCAGACTAAGTACTTGGTTTCAGTATCACTGGACTTGTACGCTTCTTTATCACTACGTGTAAGCAAGTAACGGACACCCCAGGCCTGTTACAATCGGTCTGCGGATGGTCCGCTGTGGACATGTCCAACCGAGTGCCAAGCACTCTGAAGAGGCCACGTCCAGAGCTTCGCGGTGAAGCGCGGGTCTCGATCCGAGACAATTGCCTCAGGCAAGCCATGTTGGCGAAAGACTCGGTCTAAAAACAGCAAAGCTGTACCTTCACCATCTATGGTGTCCGGCACCGCCCGCTAAATGAGCCATCTTGCTCAATCGGTCTACAAAGACCACAATACCCGTGTTTCCTGCCTTGTCCTTGGGAAGGCCAAACACAAAGTCCATACTCATGGACTGCCAGCATCCCTCGGGGACAGGCAAACTCGCCAATGGCGCTGCCGTGCTCGGCGCGGACTTTGTCCGTTGACACGTCTCACACGTGCGTACATAGGTGCCGACCCACTTATACATTTTGGGCCACCAGTACATCGTGCTCACCGAGCCGTAGGACCTAAGTGCCCGCCCACGGGCGTATCATGAACCTCATAGAGGATTCGATACTTGAGATCCTCATCATGAGGAACGACTACACGAGGGTTATCCTCAGCGTCGGTGCTGTAGTACAGCAGGCCGCCATCGAGCGAGTATCGATGCAGCCTCGCGCGTAAGCGCCCAGACAATTCTTTGTCAGAGTCTAGAAACTCTTCGCTCCCAAGAGCCCGTAGCAGCGCTACGC